AAAGTTTCGATATCCGTTGCAGATTCTTCATCAGAGGCACCAGTAGAAAACAATAGCAGACACGGGCGACACACACACAGGAATTCGCAGTATTTATAAGGTACAGTCCTTACTGCACACGTACGACCATGCAAATTAACGATAATTGCCCACTTGGGCGTTAATTGCTTGATGACCGGTGTGCGGGCCTGCTGACCTTGCACCAAGCATGATGATTGCCCGGCTACCCACTTCCCGATGTTGGCCTAAGACAATGCGGTGGCGTGGACGTTCCCCAAATTGAGCCTCAGCACCGAATATGGATTAGGCAGGTAAACCGTTGACTCACACGATTGTCACGTCTTGCAAGAACTTGAGCCTTATCAAATTTGAATTTGTTGCCCAGCTTTTATTGAATGAGCCGCAACTTGAGAACTGGCATCTTTTTGCGGCACAACTGCCGCGCGTTCGGCAGTTCGCGTCCTGAACTGTCTTCCCGTTTCTGCTACTGTTTTATACTGATGTCCTGATGAAGAATCCGCGACGAATGTTGAAGCATCAGGTAAATAAATGTGTTGTCCCAGCGACCTTTCCTTCTTCTTCTTATAAATTACTTCCTGGGACTCGCATGTTCGTCTGTATTGGCAACATGCGAGCTGAAGGCGAGGCGAGAGACGCACACAGCGACTCAACCATGATTGGTAGAACACACACGGTAGAGTGGCATAAAGACGAGGAACATGAGCCATTCTCTGAAGATAGGTAGACGAGACAGCTACCCAAACCGTCAGGCCCACAATAAACCTCTCTCGGTTAACGCTCATCGGTCTTCTAACATGCGAGTTGCCTGCGCCCTCCATGCAAAGCACTGGTGGGTTCTGTTCTTTTCAACAATCGAAGTATTGGACCGTATTTCTGTAAAGGTTGCGGTACCGAAAAGCGTCAGCGTGTGCAACTACCGAATATACGAAGTTCTGAATTGCGGATTCATGCTTTTTATTTGAAGTTTTTAAGTCAAGTAACCGGCCGCCAACCCAAACGAGGTATTTACGCAGACGAAGTAGGGGTATGTACACCTTTTCGAGCGAAAAATATCACGGGTAGGCGTTTTTCGTACGCTCTAAGCAGAAGTTTACCATAAGGATAAATGGGGCGTGCTGTGTCATCCTTGTCTTCTTTTGAAGTTTCCTCCTGTTTATAGACAACAATCCCTTGCACAAAAGACTAGCATAACATGCATTCCAGTAGGACTTTTAAATTTATGGAGAAAATGATTTACTGGAGCATGTGTTGGTAATCAAGCCTTTGCCCACCAAATAAATGTATTTGCGTAAATACCTCGCCAATGAGCACACAAGGATGCTTTTCTCATTGTAGGATTAGATCTTCTGGTCGGTGTCAATGTGTAACTTTTTTACAGTTACGAACCACAGCCCCTTAATGAATGAATGTGTGTATACACTCAAGATTTAGTTGTCAGCTTTCATATAACTCATCAAAAATGTCTTCTGCATATCTTTAGTTTTTTTCTAATTTCACTAATGGCAATTTTTTTAAAGAGTACGGGGGTCTTTGCTTTTGTAAGGAAACTTGATTTTTTTAAAAAACGCCATTGCACAAATATGAATGGTTTCTTTGTTCGAATAATGTCTAAGTTTCACACAAGTGTTTCAAAACATGGAGGCTGAATTCATTGGGTTTTTTAAAGAAAAGGTAAGCTTTTTTGATCTATATGTAAGAGATCTTATTTTGCTATTGCTGGCAATACTAAAAATCAATACTCTTTTTAAAAATATAGGGGAATTGGTTTATTTGAGTGCAGAACCAGAAAGCCCATGCATACTTGACGCATTGTATCGCTAAGCACTTCAAATATCTACTATTTCGGCCCTGCTGGCATTCATTTTTCGGCGAGCACTTTGACTAAAGTGCTTTCCATTTTCACATGCCTATAGATAAAGAACATGTGCTCTCGCTAGCATGAAACTGGCCAATTTCACGCGTTTACTAAGTCGCTCTATGCTGAAAGTGCGTTGAAGTTAACTGGATTGAAGTAGCGTAGATAACGGGTTAATAGAAGACAAAATGGTGGTCGTTCATATAGTCCATTTAAGTAGTCTGACCTGTTATCTTAGGTTCCATTAAAGCCACTGCATTTTTACTATAAGTTCCTTCCCTGTATGAGGGAAATCCTGCCACTATGGCATGAAACGCTTTAAAATCCTATCGACAGAGACAAGTTTTTGAGACCGCCATTCAGTCATGCCATAACCAATGTCCAAGCAAACCAGGGTTTGTGGAATGTGAGCGCTAAACGGACAGAACTGGCATTCGCAGCCCTAACGTCCTTGCATACAGTGCATCTCGTTTAGTGAATATCCATGACAACTTGGGAACCTTAGAGGATTATTAATTTTTTATTCGGAGCAACACTGAATGTCCGCTTTACGTCCCATGGTCAGATGTGAATTTTGGCCCTGCTCCCATGTTAGCATTAATAATTCAGGCCAAACAGCCATCTAAACGAAGTGTGAGTGAAATCCTGATGTTCCTGGTGAAAAAAAACTGTTGGACGGGCAAATCTTACGTCCTTCTCTCGCCATTGGCAGTAACGTACGACCATCTCTATCGTGGTAGATGTCTTCACATAAGGGCTAGCGATGGTATCCAATCAAGCACCGGGGTATAAGATGAATTTGAAACAAGGAACATCACTCTTCTAGCATGTGGAGTACTTTTAAATGTATACATTGCGTTAATTATTTATGTGACTGGAACAATAGTAGTCCATTTTACTATTTTTGGCCGCATTCAACTCACGCATAAACTGAATGCGAAGGGATAGGACTGCTCGCGTGTGTGGCTTGGGTTTGCCGATACTGAAGGGTTTGCATGTCCGTCATTTCGTGTAGAATAAGCTGAATACGACATCTTATTTTGCCCCAAAATACAAACACAATTAGAATGATGCAATTCTACATCGCCAGTCTGACGAACAAAGCATCCTTTACGAGAAATTTGTACGTTTCCTATACACGAGGACTGCCCAACCTGAAGCCCGGGGGCATGCAAAGTGAGGGCTTGAATGTGAGTGCCTCACGACAGATGGTAAGTTCACGCCATAGGAGGCATTAAACACAATTGTATTACCACTTGGCTCGGTTCGGATAGGGCTCTGCTGGTTTGGTCCGGTGTTCGATAAAGGTGCATCCTATCACCCATTTAGTTTAACTTGGATCTTGACTGGATTTTCGAGAAGGACCTACACGGAAATTCTAGTGTTGCGTTTGCACCTGGACGCCGGCCGACTGCTCTCGACTAAGTTGATCATATCGCCTTACTAATTCCAAGCTTCAATGGTCCGCCATGCATGTTGCCACAGATGAATGAAGTTGCTAGATCAGTCGATCCTTCTGTAAAACCCAGAAGAACCAAGGTGTATTTAAGCTGCATCCGTGACCAGAAGAATACAGCTCTTGAGGTTAATGACTGTCCAGTTGGAGAGGCGAACAGTTTATACTACCACGGGGCGAGGTTAGTGCCGAGTGGACAGAGTAAAAACGACATTGTTTTCCTGCAATCGCCATCAATTCCACATTTGTGTGACTATCAATCAGCCAGACAGTTTGGGTAGCAACAAAAGGAGAAGCAAACGCTGATTGTTCCATAGTGTTACAATGCCTTCGCTAAGTTTCTGTTTTGACAATGGCCAGTGTAGAACAAAGAACGAGTAGCTGCGCAGACAGGAGAAAATCTTGCTCAATTTTCTCAAAACAGGCAGTTATATTTTGAACAACAAACATTGTACTTTCCAACTATCTTACCTCTTGGCCTATTTTAACCACTCCCTTCTCTCAGGTCTGGGCATCGCAGCAATCTGCTCTGCTCTCGGCATTCGTCTCATCGCCTCCTTTCTCGCAGTAACGCCCTCTCGGCTTACCTACAAAGAGCGAGTCTTTGTCGCTCTAGCCTGGATGCCCAAGGCCACGGTGCAGGCCGCCATTGGGCCACTGGCTCTGGATGCAGCTCGCAAAACTGGTGATCCCTACCTCATTGACCTGGGTGAACAGGTAAGATCTGGTTAGGCGCAAAATCTACAGTTGCAGATGATTACAGAGTTACATTGGAACAGTGATTCAGTTTTTTTCTTTTCTCGCAATTTCCCTCATTAACCTGGCATCAGCGTCGGGCAAAAAAATACAATTTATGAGAAGCTCTTGTTACTGGGATATATAAGGATTAATTTCCAAGTCACAGTCGAGCCATAAATCCCTGAGGGTGCACCGCCGATGTACTTGGATGGTCAACAATGCTATTATTGAGTTGACCTCAATTAAAAAAAAA